GGTTTATTCCAGAATGCTTGCCAAGTCCTGGTTATGCAAAAATTATCCAGTTTGGAAGGACATGAGTACATCACAGCTCTGTAGGATATGCAATGTGAATTAGGCTATTAATCCATCGAATCCAGTTGCCTGCTGGTGATGATAACTAATTCCCAAAACTTAGAAACATAGAAAAATAAAAGAAAACCAAGCTACCAAGAACCCAACATAATCATGAGCACCTAACCAACTGTATAGTCCCTTACATATTTATTTGTTTAGATTTTAAAATTATAGAAACTGAATCAGCATTATAGAGCTTTCATAACTTAAAACTCACAATGTTAAAGTACAGATTGTGAAATACTCCTGACTGAATACAATACAAATAAAATGGTCCAAATAAAAAAGAAACAAAATAACAAAAAATACGAAAATAAATTTTGAATAACCTAACAGTAGAGATATTCTCCCAAGAGATGAGAAGTAGGAGTTTGCTATTGCACATTCTGATAAGATATAATGTCACATTCTCAAAAAATATCACACATACATATGCAAAACAAGTGACAGTAGTGTCCATGCAGACCTTGCTGCATCACACCTTATTGGGAATATTTCAGGGCTCCTATCACTTTTAAAAATGGTCACATCTCAGAGAACACCCCCAGTCTTCATGTTTTCTAACATATTTAATAGCTACTATTAAATAATATGCCTAGAAAAGATATCCTTCAGAACACAAAAGCACATGTTTCTCCCTCAAAAACCTCAGACTATTTTATATAAGCTTTATGTAAATTTTAGTAAACTTGTTTCTCAAGTTTACTTTTCAATTTAGATTCTGAAGCATATGGAAAGCAGTACTTACACGTAGCACTGAACTTCTCCATAAAAAATACTAAGAGAAATGCAAAACAAGTGGCAAGCACAAAACGTATTTGTTTGCTATGCGACTACTTCACACATTCATTCCAAATACCTGAATAAAATCTTTTAATCACATTGTTAAATATTCAGCATGGTGTAGGGTTTGTCTTTTTTTTTTAGTAGTCTAATTATACTCAAATGTGCCTTTGATATTCTGGACAGGAACAGTGAAATCAGAGCATGTGCTCTAAATGCACAGTACTGAAAGTAACCCACATAAAAATTATAAACAAAGCACTGTACCACTCCTGTATAAGCCAAATACTGTGAAGAGAAAACAAAGAACATGTTCCGAATGTTTTGCTTTTTATGTGCTCCTAATAATGCATAATACTCAGTCTCTCATTTACTTCATTCCACAGATTTTATGGAAATTGAATACTATGATGTCAGCGGCAAATAACGGTATTACGATTGTTTTGCACACACTACAGCACTACTTGTATTTGGAAAGGTTTCTAGCATCATGTCCAAAGTTTCACATTTCTGTACTGTAATGCTGTTTCTCAGCCATCAGTGTGCTGATGTAAATCCAAGCTCAAGGATAAAAACACACAAAATCACAAAAATCATGCAATTTCTAACACTGTAGATAAGTCTGTATTACAAGACATATATAATGTACCTGGATAAGAAGTACACCATCTTTAAAAAAACATGATATGGCAACCATATAGGGATCCCTCTTGAAACACTTAATCTGCATCAATGCAAAGTTCACCTTGACTTTAATGGGAAATTATGTGAAAGATTAATGCAGCAAATTACAACCACACAAACTTGGGATTAATTATAAACCACAACTGGATTTTACCAGTTTTCTTTCTTACAGCAAAATTTTCTTTTTTTGCTGTAGAAGGGAAACACTAAAAAATGTAGAAGACTAAAAGTAATATTTCACTGCTTAGCATACAGCTATTACTTTAATAAACTTAAATGAAAATTTGAACCAACAAAAATGAAGATTGCTGTGGGGATCACACTTGAAAATTGTATTTCTCCCTGCAGTAACAGAAATGGGAGTCTTCCTTAGTTATTTGTCTCATTGTTTACTGACTTGCTTGTTGCCCAGCAACTACCATATGAAGGAACTACAATTCTTAGCCATTCTCATTTTAATCTTGAAAAAGCAGATTAAGATTACTATGTGAGTAGTCTCTTTCTGGTGAGATACTGTAATATTTCAGTTTCTATATCTGCAAAAAGGAAGCCAAGTGACTGGAGAATCCAGTACTTCCGCTCTGTCAAAGGTTCACCTTCTCTGCTCTTGTATCAACCCATTTACTGACCAGCTATTTAAATATTGTCAGGTACTTTGTAACATTTGAGCTATAGCAAAAGAAGCAAACATCTGTCACTTACATTCTTGAATCATCCCACAGCACACAGTAGGGATTCAAAGTGCCCTAAGAAGAAAACAAACAGACCTATTAGTTACCCATATACAAAAATATTTGTCATGCTTGACCTAAAAATTTATTTGGATCTCCTCCTACAAGATCATCCTCATAGTCTGATGAATTGATGCAAATGCTTAAGGTTAATTCTTATAGGGTACTTTGAAGGCACTTGAACCTCAGAGCAGAGTAAATGTGCATTCTCTGCTTAGATAAGAAAAGCATAAAGTTGTCTATTTGGTATATCCTAGTGGAAGTAAAAGATGAGATAATAGTTAGTCTGTTAAGAGACTTGACTGAACATTTCTGGTGTTTTTAGAGGAAGAACTTTAGACCCCTTAGGAACTTGGATGTAAAAATCAGTAATGGCTTTAAAAATTTTAAGCATATGTTGGACAAAATATCTTGAGGTTGTGATTTCAGATTCACACACCCTACATTCAGTGTCCAAAGGTTTTGTCAATTAGGTCCTAAATCAGCAGAGTTTTTTGCTCAAAGTATTTTTTTTTGTTTGTGATTGAGCTTTACAATACCGGCTCCCATCTCTTCAAAGTCTGTGAAAGATTTCTGATTTGATTTAGAACAGAATAGGAATCTAGGTTTTTATTACAAATCACTGAACTATGGAAAAATTTTTGGGAAATAGAAAAAGCTATAAAATTATTCATGTTTATTTTGTTGCCTAGGAAGTGTAGAGACAAAATTAAAATTTACTCAGATTGATTTAGAAGTACTTAGAAGTGCTAAACTATATTCTTGTTCACTATAAGCCTTAGATGTTCCCAGGAGTCAGAATTACATTAAAAAAGTTATATAAAATATAGAATAAAAATGTATTTTTAAAAAATCATAAGTGATTTGAGAAGGCAGGTGGAGTTCACTATTTTTGGATGTCAATGCTAGTGAATAGTATAGATGCAGTAGATATAAAGGTACTTTCATATAAACAAAGTACACCTTAATATTTTACTCTCAAAAATGATTCATTTATAGAAAAACATGGCAATGTGTAAAGTAAAAATCTATTAAATATTTAAATTATTCCATCTACCTCTTTTATCAAAGATAAAATGAAGGACCATTTTATTCTGGAGATGCTTGTGAGAGCGGCATTTAGGGAATTTTTGAGCCTCTACTTCAGTATTTTGCTGACTGCATTGAATTTTATGAGTAGAGTATAAATATTTAAAACCAACATATACTTATGGCACTTTATATTTACATAGCACTGTACAAACATAAATAAAGGATGCTCCCTCCATCCCTTGAAGTATTTATAATATAAAGAAGATGAAGGGGAAGAGGACACAGGACAAAGCAGTGGATAATAGGCTAATTGAGATTCAGAGACCAGGTCCTGCATCACTTGCCAGGAGTTTTCAGATACTTTGATGGACTAAGAGATAGAAGGATAAGAATTAGGAACAAAAGAATATCAGTGCAGAATTAAATTTTCTTTAAAATGTAATTTTATAAAGAGTAATAATTTGTATAGTGAGTCTAAGTGAAGAAGGTTTACTTAAAATCTGATACAGCTATATGCATATTAAAAACATAATTCTATAACTGCATCATAATAAGGCTTTGCATCTTTCAGATCTAAGACCTGTCTTTCACAGCAGTGGACATCATACAGCTTATGCTTGCTATTCCCACAGTGCAAATAGAATGAATACAATAACACTTTCAGAAAAAAATGTCCATTACAAAATAGAGGGAAATAAAAATCTTTGCAGAAAACTGAAACACGATAAAATTTCTGTCAGATCACACATTTTGCTCTCTTTGAAATCTATTCGAATGGAAAGAGTTTGTTTGGCCATTGCAGTCACTAATGAGAGATTAGGCAGAAACATGGGAAGCAGGATAAATAATACTCCTGGTTCCACAAGAAAGTCTTGTGGGAGGGTTTGTTCCACCAGAAGTGGCAGCTTGCAAGGGCACAGCACCCTTTCAGAACTTCTTCCTCTTTTGATACTTGATCAAATACTCTTCAAGCACCACAGGGACCACAAAGAGCTTGTTTCTCTGTTTGCTTCTTTGCCTTTAATCTGTTGCTCCCTTTTTCACAGCCTTTCTGGGGTACCCCTTGGCAATGCTGTAGAGCTGCCTCCAACACCATGGCTCTCTGTGAGGGCAGTGCTCTTACCAGCTAATTACTCAGCTGCAGCTAAGGAAGCAGCTACTGTGTTCATTAGCATTTACAACTGCTGTAGCATTGATTTATACACCACAGTACGTTACTTGGATATCTCAAAAATGGACATGTGTGTATGTGTATGTATCTCTGTCTGGCATATAAAACTGAATTTCTGAGATGTGATTGGCAACTCTGACAGCTATCCAGCTCAGTGACAACTGTGTTTTGTAGCCAGGGTTTTCAGTCACATTGAAAGCTTCATGTCCTATGCTACTGCTGGCTGGTTATTCCAGTGTCCCTGGAGTACATTTCTGTGCTGTCAGAAGGTGAGAGCTCATATTCTCTCTAGAGCAAACAGGATTCTGTTTGAGTTGCACATGTTTTTAAAAGATTGCTTTGATTAAAGTGTACCTTTAATCAAACTACTGGAAAAATGTGGCCATAGTCCTCTATATGTTCACATTTTATAAGACCAAATCCATTCTCTAAATAACAGAATATTCTGAATTGAAAAGGATCCACTGAGGACCATCAAGCCCAACTCTTAAGTGAATGGCCATATGGGAATTGAACCCTCAACCTTGGTGCTATTTGTTATTAGCTCAATGCTCTAACCAACTGAGCAATGATGCAATGCAACCCACAATCCACTCTGGTCAGCTCTCTGTTATATTTTTATTTACCTAAAAATCCAAATACCATGCAATATATTTCAAACAGCAGATGCAATTGTGATTTGCACTTCCTCCAAAAGATAATCATCCAGTTTTATTAATAAACTGGATTAAAAAATGAAGAAATTACTATAGATTTTGAATAAATCGGTATTTTAAGCCTGATTTTAATTAGCCATATTAACTCTTTTAAAATTATCCATTTGCCCATCTTTTTTCATAATATCTTATTTACTTAATTTAGTCAGTAGATAAGGAGGTGAAAGAAAAAATGTGTGGATATACTCCTATGTACTAATAGGCATGCTCTATGAAATGCTTAAAATATCATCATTAAATCAATTTGCAAACAAATTGTTCTGAATAAATGAACAGCCTCTCTAAGAAAAAAGGGTTGGAAAAAGCAAATACAACACTGAGAAATTAAAAATAATCAGATGAAAGAAAACATATTTTATTTTCTCTTTAATAATTAATCTATTTAACTGACATAATGTTTAATCTGTGAGCCATTAATATATGATGTTAAAATATTAAAGATATATTAACAATGGTTCTATGTTGCTGTAGGTACATAAAGCTCGTTCTGTGGTAATATAATAGAGCAAATCTTTATTTTCAGCTGAGAAAATTATAGCAAAGAATTAGATTCAGTCTAGATTCAGTCTGCGCATCTACAGCCTTACTTCTTTAAACCAAAGTCCCATTATGAAGGCTAATGACTAATGTTTAAAGATATTAAAATTATATAACTGATTTGTATTCAAAGATTTTCTGGAGCAATATATTGTCATTGTATCTGCCAATCCAACTTGTATATTGTATATCCTTAAATATAGTATGTATGAAAATTTGATCCAAGCACTTGATGCTTCTCTAGATTATATTATAGGATAAAAAACTGAACGAAAAAAGAGAAATTATCTGATATGTATTGGAAAGGTAATTATCTTTTTGCTTTGTCAAGACCTGAGTTCATACAATATTAATTAATATTCTGTTACTGAAAGGTTGCCAAAGCAAGGTGACAATCAGTATCTCTAATCTGATCTTTTGTAACAATGAAGTTTAATTTCCAAGTTCTTCAAACTTGGCAAAAACTTGCTCTGTAAATTAATCAAAGGGAGAGATAAAAAAAAGATGAAAAATAAAGCCCTAAGAATTTTGTAGGATTTCATCTTCTGGGGTTAGCAGTTCAACCTTTTATTATTTGAGTCTTGCCTGTGTTGTGCTTGTTTTATTAGCTTGTGTTTGGTCTAGAAATATTTTCAATGCTGAAAAATTGCTTACTAGTATTATTTTCTTATATGATTTTAAAACTTCTTTTCTTGAATGTGACCAAATTAATGCGAATGTTTTTCTTACCTATTACCCCATGTGCCACCTTACCTGTTACTTTTGCAAGTAGTGATTTCAGTTTCAAAATAGAAATGTCATATTCTGCAATTTGTGTAACAGCCCCCCAATCATTGTTAAAATAAGAGATTATAAAATCTAGCATTGAAAATTACCATAAATTCTTCCTGATAATGATCATAATAAAATCAAAATAAGTATTCTATTGCAAAGGTCATTGATTTTCCCCCTGATATACAGGATTAATTTGTGTTTACTTCAGCAAAAACTTTGTAATATTTTTAGTGAAATACCTGACAGAAACAAGTTATGTTAAAGATTAAGATTTTCTCCTAATATATATGATGTAATTTAGGTTTGAAAAAAAATAAAACAGAACATGAAATCTACATGTCCTAAAACATCTTATAAATAAATTGAAACAAAGAACTATAAAACCCCAAATCGACAAAATTCTTCATCAATACATTTTTAATGTTGTTGAAAGGTAAGGAGTCAGCTCAGTTCATGTTCCTCCGTTCCTCTTTTCTGCCAAGCTTTCACTGAGATGTTCCTTGCATTGTATTTTTCTGGGAACTGAATGGCAGGTCATAATGACCACTGATTGCAAAACAGCTTTTTCTAACCTTGAGTAAAATGTTAACGAAACATGTAGAGTTCAAAAAGTTTTCTTCATACTTTTGGCCAGACTCACTATTTCAATTTTGCTACTGACTGAAATATTTGGATCTTCTCTAGCTGAATTGTGTCTATATGAACACTTGAGTAACTGTTTTTAACTTAAAAATTACAGCTTTACAGATTCTTGCATAACAATACTATTTTCAAAAGCTTGAGTAATTGTCTCTTCTGACTCTTTATGATTTTATTCAAAGCAAACTCAAGCTCTTAAGAACATAAACAGAGAGTTTATATATTATGACTTCACATGAATTACCCCCATGCTTGTTATTTAACATTATTTTCCCAATATTATATATGAAAATGATTTTACACAAAAGATATATTTTATTCTCCCTGTGAGCACTGGGAGACTGCTAAAAACAGAAAGAAAAAAAATCTTTATCTTTTTCATACATTTGGAATTAAAGTACTTCTTTTTTTGCATTTGAGATTAAAGTCTGAAAAGTATAGAATTTAAATGATTGCACAAAATATCTCAAGCATTTATGAGGACTCTAAGCTAAATTGGAACCAGAGCATTTTTGTAGTCTGCTCCAATGGGTTAAGTAAAAACTAGCTTCTATAAAATAATGAAAGAAAGGAAGAACTACTGTAGCTCTATGACCTACGCAGGGAGCAAAAGGTTAAGTAGTCAGTACAATAATACATTTCCAATTGTAACCATGAAAGCATTTAATGGAAATTATTCACTAGAAATTGCTTTTTAACAAAAACCCTCAACATTCACAAAACAGCAATTAATTTTGTTTCGTTTATATGCATGCATGAAACAAATACACATTCCTTTCAAAGATTGTTGCACTGTTCCTGGGCTTAAATTTTAGAAGTTAAACTGTATTTTATTACCTTATATTTAAAACAACACCAATTATTTTCTCCCATGTGATCTAGAAAATACTCTTGTAAAAGCATATCAACTATCCTTGTACTTACATTAGACAGGTGTGCCAGTTCTATCTCCAGGAAAGAATCTGTAGTTTTAGGCTCAGGTCGTATAGTAACAACAATGATTTTTGAGTTAACAACTGTAAAATTCCTGTAAGAAAATGCAAAAATGGAAAATGTAAGTGTTTATAAGGTAATGCAAGGTTGTGCTAATACAGGCAAAAAGACATATTGACACATTCATGTCGGAGATCCTTGCTTCTTATGACTCTATCAGGTTTAGAATGACCATCAGTTATCAGCCTGACTGCTTCTGGTGATCATGATGGCATTTACTTTTGTGTGTAATGCTGCTTTCCACACCTCACAGAAATGTTATCAAAGAATGTTATCAAAGGATGCTATCAAAGAAGAAACTAAACAGTTTAGATGTAATTATAATAGACAGTATAAATATTCTTTTGCTTCTGTTGTCGTTTAATTGCTTATTTTCTCTTGGGAGTTTGTATTTAGAAGAGAATTCCATTTTGCTGGATCATTGAAACAGGAATTGCCATGGCTACAGTAATAGAAACTTAGCTTAGCAGGCATTTCATTCAACACAAGGAATGAAATGGTACTTTTGGGGGAAGATATGAGTTCTAGTCCAATTTTACTCAGCCAAATCACATAATGAAAATATAATGGAACTATTTCTATTTTACTTAATTCCCTTTGGTTACACTTTTAAGTCTCACACACTTATTGACAAAAATGTATCTATCAGGCTAAAATTTAATGTTTAGCTAATTTTCAGTGCATTCTGTAGAATCACAGTAGCTGAATATATGTAATTATTAAAAAAGAACCAGCCCCCCCAAACCAAATAAAACTCCAAATAAATAAAAAACTTCATTTCTCTAACACATCATGACAAGTGAAAATGGTGCTTACTATGTATTCACAGATTATGTCAATTTTGGAAATTCATGCAAACTATTGTAAATACTGCTACTTCAGTACTCTTTTACAGTCAGTCTTTGTGATTGAAAAAGTTTTCCTGGGTCTATCTCATTTTGGTGCAGTTCTGACAGTTCTAGGGCGAGATCTGAAAGAACATCTAAGTGCCTAGTTTGTAACTTCAGTACATTCATTTTACCTTGATCTCATTAGAACTCTATCAATCCACTTAAATTCTCAAGAGTCCCTAGCAGACTGTTTCACAATAAAATAAATACAACTGCCTATATTACTGTGAAATGAAAACTGCATCCCTCATTGCTGTCCTGTCTGGGCTGAATGCCTACCTGCATATTTCATATTTAACTGCTTGGACAGTCCCTGGAAGAATACAATCTGTATTCTAAAGAATATTCTAAAGTATATTCTAAACTCACATAGCATATTAAGATGCCTCTAAATTAAAGCTCAAAGCTTTGTAGTCAAAAACAATTTCAAAAATTTGAAAAAATCTCAAAACCACCGGTGCAGTGTCATTGCTATCTCTGTTGAAGATCTTTTTTAAACAACAGCCCAGCTTTGAGAACAATTATTCAAGAAATTAAGTAATCAGTTTTTACAAAATGTCCTTGGACATTTTAATTTCAGTCCTTCTTATGTTGTGAATGACATATAATGGAAATGATCTATCTCACACTTCCTGGGCAAGTGCATTATCTTACAGCTTTTTTATAGTGGAGTGACTTCACCATTAGCTCCTTTTCCTTCATGAAAAATAATCTAAGATTCAACCTTAATGAGAAATTAAGTTTTACAGGATGGTGCTCTGCTGTCCAGAAAAATGCTCATCATGCTTAATTTTTGAAATAAATTATTCAAAAACAATCTACTAAATTTCTTGGAAACTATGGCTGAATAAATCCTTGAAGATTCAAGATAGAAAGTGATGGAGTGAAAGCTCAAGAAACGCTTTCAGAGCTGCTGTCCTGGAGCTTTTTTTCTGATCTAAGTCAATAATGATATTAATAAAAGAGAGGTTTTTTTAAGCTGTTTTCCTACCAGGGTATAAATTTTAAGGGTTCTCTTTTATGTAA